AGATCTACCCTTCCACATGGCCTTGCCACCAAACATATAAGTGACAACATAAAAAACAGACAATGTATTCCTTCAACATCAAAAACTTTTGTGCTTCTAGACACCATTAAGAAGGTGAGAAGACAATCCACTCCATCCTGAAAATATGTGCTAATCATGTTTATCTTGCCTGAGATCCAGAATACATAAAGAACTCTTAAGCTCCATAATAATAATTTAAAAGCTCAGTTTTTTAAAGATGGGCAAAGAATCTAATTAGATATTTCTGCAAAGGAAATAATGGCCAATAGGCACAGGGAAAGAGGCCCAACATAATTAGTGAGTAAAGAAATGCAACTGAAACCAGAGAGAGCGAGCGATTTGCACTCATTAGAGTGGCTAGAATAAAAAAAGAAAGATGTTGGTGACACTGTGGAAAAATTGGAATGCTTATGCTTTGCTGGTAAGAACACAAAATGGTACAGCTGCTATGGAAAATACCTTGGCATTTCTTCAAAAAGATTAAACACAGAGTTAGCATATGAACCACCAACTCCAATCCTAGTCATATACCCAAGAGAATTGAAAATATGTTCACACACAACTTGTGCACTAATCTTCACAGAAACACTATTCATAATAATATCCAAAGAGTGGACATTATCCAAATGTCCATGAGCTGATACATGGATATATAAAACGCGGCACATTTGTATAATAGAATATTATTTGGCAATAAAAAGGAATAAAGTACTAACATATGAAATAATATGGATTAATCTTTAAAACATTAGGCTCAGTGAAAGAAGCCAGTTGCAAAAGACCACATATTATATGGGTTTTTTCCCCCATCAGAGGGGATTGAACACGGGAGTGCTCTACCACTGAGTTACAGGGAGTGTTCTACCCACTGAGCTGTGTCCCTGGCCCTTTCAGTTTTTTAAGATGATCTCACTAAGTGGCTGAGGCCGGCCTTGAACTTGTGATCCTCCTACCCCAGCCTCCTGAGTAGCTGGGATTACAGGGATGGGCCACTGCACCTGGTCTATGTGATTCTATTTCTATAAAATGTTCAAACTAGACAAATCCATGGAAACAGAAACTAAACTGAGTTAGTGGTTGCCACAGGAATTGAAGAAAAAAGGAGAGGTGAGTGGGGGGATGGGAAGTGTGCCTACGGTTGAGATTTTGTTGGGAAAGTGATAAGGGATAGCAAATGGGCACATGGTTCTTCGGGAGGTGATTAAATTCTTTAAAATTATTTTCAGCAATAGATGCACAATGGTTTGGATACACTAAAAACCACTGAATTATACAACTCGAACTGGTGAGTTGTAAGGTATATGAATTATATCTCAACAAAACTACTTTAAAAGTGAAAATACATACTAATGTAACTATAGAGAAATCTTAAAATCATAGAAAGATGTAGATTTTGTAGTATCTTCAGAAAAGATCAAGTTTTATTTCACAAAGTAAGTTTGTTATTTACTCAGTCTTTACAAAGTAACAAATTGATGTAAACATTGTTTTTTAATATTACAAATATTTACAGATACTGTTTTCTTGGGATAACTATCTATTTCCCTCCAATGAATAAGACCTGGAAGCAGCTTGCTTTGACTGAATGCTGATCACTTTTGCTGCATAGCACACTATTCCTGAACCCGTGGCCTTAAAGGATGGCCATTTTATTTACCTCATGATTCACAGGATATGAATCAGGTGGTCCGTTCTGGGCTCTCCCACTGTGTCTGTGGCCACTGGCAGCTGGATGACCTGGCTGAGCTTTCCTGGCATGTCTGGAAGTTGGCAGCTCTTAGCCGGGGTCCCTTGGTTTCCCCCCATGTGGCTGCTCACACTCCAGCTGACTAGCTCAGGCTTTTTCACATGGTGGTCTGCAGCAGGAGAGGGCCAGCCCCAAGGCCCCAAATCTTTGCTTCTGACACATTTACTAATGCTGAATTGGCCACTGCAAATCAGGAGGCCAATCGAAATTCAAGAGGTGGACAAAGAGATCCCACTTCTTCATAGTGTCTGTCACAAATTCAGCGAATACTGGAAATTTTCTGGGTAATGAGTGACATTTTGCACTCTTCTTGAGTTTTCACAATATTTTGGGAACATATTGGTGCTGCTAGAAGGCTCACCTCATAACTCCTTCTCTAAAGAGCCTCCCCCAGTCAGTCAACAGGCTGAGCAATCCACAGGTAATAACCCAAACTCCACAAAACACCACTCTTTTAACAGGCACTGGAGAAACAGGCACTGCAGAAGCAGCAGGCAGGGCTCCTTCTCCAGTGCCTCTGGCTCACCATTATCATTACCTGCAGCACTGCTGGAACTAACTCTCCTTCATCCTCCACGGGGCTCAGTTTCTATTGCAGAGTTCTTCCCATTTTCCACGCCCCCTTTACCTGCTCCTCACACAGAGGCACTCACCTCACGCCTCCATAGCACACTCCTGGCATCTGTCTTTACTCCACTGTGCATCTAACTTGGTAGACTCGTCCTCTTGGAACTGGCCCTCACTAACTGAGCCACCGATATCCAGAATCCTACAACCATACTCTTCTAAAAATCTCATAAAAATGAGAGTGGTTAGTTAGTATAAATGCACTTATCCTAATTTTAAAAAAGCAGCATTTAATGCATGCTCTACATGCATAATCTCACTGAATGCCCACAATATCTCACAAAAGTAGGGTTATTATTATTATTCCCTTGGAGCCAGCATTGGTGGGAGTCAGCTGCCGGCAGGCTGAATCTATGACATCAAGTTCCCCCATGACAATGCTAGAGCCAGTCCAAGGAAGGGATTTGGGAGTTGGATGGGGCCAAACCCTCATCGGAGCAACCTTCCTGGGGTCTGCGAGGTACTTCCTATCTTGTGTTGTCTGCCAGCCTTCCAAAGTCCTTAGAGTGCCAACCACCTCACAGCTCTGCCCAGAATCTGTGCGCAACCACCTGGGCGTTGCCCTCCTTCTCAGAACATTTCACCAATCGCCCTTTTGTGGATACTTATTTCCTCACCTAGACATAAGGACATAGCTCAGCTCATAAGTTAATTTGCATTTACCACCTCCTTGGAAGTAGGAGAATGTCCACAGGTACTGTAGGCGATGCTAGGCCGGCAGCGCGATAAAAGAGAAAGGACCTCGGAAAGCAATCTTCGCCAGAGCAACCTCCGCCCTAGTGGGATTACAGAGGTCTTGGGTTGAATCCCTCAGTTTGGAGGGTCAGGCCTAGTCCAAGCAGCTGGCTGGGTGCGGGGCGGTCCAGACCCTAATGCAGGGGAAACTGCAATGTCCTAATAAGCTTCTGGAGAAACAAAACCAGATTCTCCTTTGAAGTCCACTTACTGGACCAGGGCATCAAACCGCGGACACTGGGCCCGGAACGCCGACCCGACCCCACCCATTCCCGGGTCCTCACTCCGTCTGGCTCAGCGCTGACCCATTTTGCCGCGCCCCCTTCTATAACTGCCCTATCGCGCCCCGCCCCCT